GGTCCGGTCGGGTCGGGGGAAGGTTTGGCCGCTGTGCCTCAGCGTTAGGGCGGGCTGAGGGGTGGTGGTGGGTTCCCCTCCTCTTCTTCGTCCTCCCCTTGGCGGCCGAGGGCATCCTCCGCCCGCGGGCTCGCTGTGGGCAGAGGGGGGGCTGGTTCGTGTGTCCCCCCCCCCCGCTTCTCCTCAGCCGGGGCTCGTCCCTCCGCCTTCGGCCCACGGGGGCTCCTCTGAGGGAGTCTTAGGCAGCAGACTACCTAGAGCTTCCCTCCCGAGGCCGGGTGTTGGCAGGTGAAACCCCTTTTTTTGTGAGCAGCTGTGTCGGAGCGGGAGGGAGGGTGTTACTGGGGCTCGGAGGGGGGAGACATGGTTAGACTGTCTGGTACTTCGCTATCAGGAGCTTGCTCCTTGCTTTGTTACCTCACGGTGGTACAGAGTCAGTATTAAGTGCAACTTTTTTGCTTTTTTTAATTGGGTAGTACTGATAATTCTTGAAGGTTTTGCGGTTTACTGTTGAAAGAGACATTGGTAACTGATTAGGTTTACTGTAGTCATGTCAGGATCAGCCCCAGAGGAGCCTCAGACCTCTATTCCTCAAAGCACAGCTAGTGTTCCTGATCCTGCTCCGGTTGCTGTTGGACCTGGAGGCTCAAGTGAAGTTTCCTTTGGTGAGCAAAATCTTAGCTTCACCACCACGGACGTCAGCCTGGTGGAGATGATGGAAATTGAGTATACCCAGCTGCAGCACATACTTTACTCACATGTGGAGGCACAAGCTAGTGAAGGTGAAGTGGAAGCTAGGCTCAATTCTTTCTCCTTGCCTGGTAATTCTGCAGACCCCCCTCTGCACCAAACCTCATTGTACACCAGTCAGGAGGGGAGTTCATCAAACTGCTCTAGGAACCAGTCAGTTTACCCAGTTACCTGTCAGTCAGGGTTACCTTCTGACAGCAGTTCGCTAAGTTCAAACCCACATTTGGGCTACACTGACTTTCAGGAGCTCAGAATGATGTTACTTAGCGAGTCTAACCTCCCTTTGAACCAAACAGATAAAACGCCTAACAGTAGCTCTGTAGAAGTCCCAGGACACAGTTTAGTAAAAGTTAAATATGGTGAAAATTTTGCTGGGATGAATAAAGAAAACATACTTGTTGAAAATTCGGCACTGGCACCAGAGCCTAGATCTAAATCTGCAGTCAGAGTTCGGTTGGAAGACAGATTCAACAGCATCCAGACAGAAAACCCCAGATGTCAAGAACCCCAAGAATCTGGAGTAACTCTTAACAAGTGTGTTGCAATTAATTTTAGTTTATATTGTTAAATTATGTATCATCGTATAGTTCAAAACTGATTTTCTAAAGGAAACCTCAGAACAGTACTTTTTTTAATAGGTCAGAATGAGGGGTTGGGCTTTTTTTTGAACATGGCTGCAACTCCACTGACCTCAGATTAGGCCCTTCTGTATAGTGCATAAATGGTACAGCATGTAGTTAAAAAATTAATTACTTTACAACTTTATTCTTGATATCATGATGTAAATAAAGGTGAGAGAAGAACATTACCTAGTTTTAACATGCAACTTGCTAAAGGCAAAGTAGACTTTTGATTGATCATAATAAAATATTAAGAGCAATTGATTACTGTTATAATGTGGAGGCCTGAGTATGGGGCAAACTTTGAGCAAAAATACTGTTTTACAGTCCAGCCCTGTAACTATTAGCATGCTGATAAAACATTTTATTGAGGCGTAAAGCTGAACTGTTACTGCACAGAATAAAATGCCTTCTTAGCTGATTTTTTTTTTGTCCCTGAAGTAGGCAATATGGCAATAACAGTGATTTCCATTTACAGTAAACGAAAGTGGTTTCTTGGTGATAATTACTAGAATTACGTGTAGCTGTAAATTTTTCTGCACTCATTTTCAAGTATTCAGTCTGGTATGTTTTCTGTGTTGTTTTTTTGTTGTTTTTGTTTGTTTCTTTGTTTGTTTTTTAAGTTTAGTAACGTTGATTCGACAGCCGTCAGAACTGATAGGTGTTCCTCTTCATCAGCAAGCAAACAAGTGTGCTGCATTAGGGAAAAATAAGACTGCACCTGCCCCGCCTTCTTTACAGTTCACATACCCGTTATTTACTATGAATGCATGTTCTACTGCTGGAAGTGCTAATCCTTCACAGGCACAGGTAGATAATGTATTCACCGCTAGTTGTACTCGGCTAATTTCAAATGCTAATAATGTTCACCTCTTAGGTGTAGTATAATTTTAAAGGTTTGCATTGAAGCGTGACTTGGTTTGAGTGGGGATGATCAGAATGATCTGTAATGCAATTTATTCTTAATCTTTAAGACCATCAAAAATACGCAAATCAGTTGTGTGGCATTTGTAATAATGTGCAGGTAATAATCCAGGTAATGATCAGTAGGCCATTGGATTTCTTACTAGAAAGTTTTTTTTCGTTGAGTTTTTCAGTGTATCATCAGCTTCATCTATGCAAGACAAGAAGGAGATACTTAGTACCATTTTCTGTGGTTCCTTTTTTCCTAATTAATTTTGATGAAGAAGATCCCCTTCCCCCCCCCGCCCCAGACTTGCAGTAACCTCTGAAGCAAGAGTGATAGCATGGCACTTGGAAATGTTAGAGGTATCCCCAAAAGATTCATCAGTCTGTCAAAATCCCATGGTTGTGCACAGAAGTAATTGGGATTTATTGTGATACAGCACATTGAATCACAGGGCTAAAACTTAAGAAGTTAACATGAAGATACCAAAATAGTCTCTTTTTTTTATGTATATAGTCCTCTAAGTATTTCCTTTTTGGTTTTCACAGACCTCCGGAACATCTTGCACTGTTTTGGAAGCTGCCAAACATCAAGACCTTGGGATACCCAAGACATTGTCTTTCTGTTATCAGGAAATTGAATCCACAAAACAGACAGTAGATGCTATGAATAAAGCTTTGCCTGAGGAAGTTTGGATTAAAGTTGGAGGTAAACCTTTTATCTTCTTTACTTAGCTTTCTCTTGGCCTTCAAATCCTACAATTTTTTTCTGAATTTGTGTGTTTTCTAGAATGAATATAATTTTAGTGAATCATATGAGGTGTGTTTTTTATGTCTGAGATACGGGACTAGATTTCTTCAAAAACGTTCAACACATGAGTTTAGCTGTACTTTCAAAATTGTTTAGCACTTCTAGCTTGAAATGAGAAAACCTGAGGTTGCAAACTATCTTTGAAAATGTGGGCTTAGAGTAAGAACTGGTTTCTACGCTTTTTGACCCCAAAGTTGATATAGCAGATCCAGTCAGTATCAAACTGAAGAACATTTTAAAGGGCTCCCTCAAATGCTTATCAAAAGGCAGGCATGATCTCAATGGGTTCTCTGAGAAAATAGAAGCTAGATGGATTTTGTAACAGCCAACAGTGCCTTAGGGCTTCCGAAGGACACGCATTGCTATGGTTGGCAATAAAGCTTCAAAGATTATTCCACATAAAGAAAGCAACAAAAAAAAATTTTCCATGATCAGTATTTGCAGTGATTAGTGGGAGGTTATGAATAGGTTCTTCTTTTCTTCTTTGTTTTTCCAAGAAGATACCTTATGCAAGCAAGCGATAAGCAGAAGAAGTTGCAGCCGAATAAGCCCATTGGATCCAAACACAGATCGCAAACCTCTTGGTGAAATTCAAAATATGCGTGATGATAGCCAGAGTACTGCATCTGCCCAGGGTCGCTGGCAGTCAGCACAGTCAAATTCAAGTATGCAGGTGCAAAGTGGTACACAGGATGGAATCGCTCAGCGAAGAGAAAGACATAACCGCATGGAGAGAGACAGAAGGTAATTTCTATGAAGAGGGGCAGTACAAAGCTTTTGAAGCCTAAAATACTGATACTGTAATGCTCCTGTCATTATCCAGAGTAAAATGCATATTTGACATATTTTGTTTTACCTACAAGAAAAAGCAATCCAGGTGGTGAGGGTTTGGTGTTTGTTAGAGGCAAAAAATATGTATGTTTCATTGTGGTCATCTTTGTTGTTTTTTTACTCTATAAACAAACAAAAAGAGATTTCAAAACATGTAACTAATTCTATAAAGATAAGGTAACTTGTGTATAACATGAACAATATACAAATACAAAACTTGTAGCAAACAAAAAGAAGTCCCCAAAGTCCATGGCTTGTAGTGCATGTGAGTAGGCTTCCTTTTAAAATGTTTTTTCCTTCCTTTTCACCCACCGGTTGAGATGATGACCTTTTGTATTTGCCTCTAGGCGCAGAATCCGGATTTGTTGTGATGAGCTGAATCTTCTGGTTCCATTCTGTACTGTTGATACTGATAAGGCAACAACTTTACAATGGACAACTGCATTTCTGAAGTACATTCGGGAAAGGCATGGTGATTCTCTGAAACAGGTTTTAAATCTAATTTCACTTTTATTCTTGATAAAAATGTGAAATGTTTTAAAGCTATCATAACATAGCTAAAAGTATATGGAATGCTTCTGCGTGATGCTGTTTGTGAAGGACCACTGTACCATTGGACCTTCCTTTAAATTTATTCATTTTTTTTTAATAGCTGGTTCAGTTCAGTAATATGAAATTGTAGGCTGTCCTCAGTCAGGGTTTTCAAATCAGATTTTAATCTTTTTTTTTTTTTGTTAGTATCAAGGTCAGAAATTGGGCTATGTGGACAATGTAGAATTGCTGCCGCCTTCAATCATTCCTCCCTTTAGCCTTAATTTTCTCTATTTCCCACCTGTTTCACAGAGTTGTCTTCTAGTTAGTTTTCATGAACTGGTAGTTAAGTGATGGGATTGACAGATACCTGCCCACACTATCTCAAAGTGCATGAGAGTAGTAAAGGGTTGTGTGCCCTATAAGCAGCTCCTGTGCTACCACACCAGTGATTGCAGCCCCAGAGTAATTCTGGCTGTGCTAAGTATTTTAAGATAGTAGATGGAATGTGTATAGGAAAACCTGCTTGTCTAGATACTGGTATGGCCCCTCAGCACTTCCTGTTAAAGGTTTGGGGTTTTTTCTCCCCAAGGCACTAGTGAAACAAAAACATACATCTTGAGTAAATATCTACATTAAACATAATTGTTATTTGTTTTTTGTATTTTGATTTTTAGGAATTTGAGAGTGTGTTCTGTGGTAAAACAGGCAGGAGACTAAAAATAGCAAGATCAGACTCATTTGTAACATGCCCAGTGCAGGAAAACACGCATGGCTATGGAGACCAAGTAGTCTGAACTGAACACCTTGAATTGTATGACAAGTGTGGCTAACAATGGCCCAAACTATTTTATTTTCTCCGTTTACATGCTGAATATGATTTGCAAAATATAACTTGTAAAAATATATAAATAGACCTTTAAAGAAAACATTCTTTATTCAAAATGGAAATGAAAGTTAACTACCAGCAATACAAATCAGTGCTCTGTTGAAGTGGCTTTGGGACCAGAAGCTACAAGAAAATGTCATGACAGCTAAGTACTTTTTCCCCTTTAGTTATAAAAAATCTGTTCTTTTTCTGTTTGTCATTCTGCTTTGGTTTTTTTTTTTTTGTGCTGTTTTTGTTTGTTTCCAAAGATGATCCAGTACAGTTAGGAATAGTTGTAGAACATCAGTCTGTCCTGTTACTTTAATGACTAGATGCAAATGTACTCTTCAAGTGTAAAAAGAAATTACAGTTACCATATTATAATGCCCATTTTTTCCATTAAAAATTTAAAGGTTATATTGGTTAATTGAGTAAGTGCATAGTTTCTAAACTGTGCTGATACTATGTTTACATTTGCTATACATATTTTAACATACTTGGCCCCAAAGAGGAATACTATGGTGTTAGCACTTTTTTTTAAATACAGTACTATTGTTACTGCCTAGCACACAACTGTCCAACAGGTTCTTGTATTGTTACTTCAGTCTAAGACTGGCATATTGTAAACAGATTATTTAAATACACAAACTATTTTCCTATTTAAAGATAAATATGACTCCTTTGTTCATAGGCTTTAGCATATAGGGCAGAAATAGAATAGTGTGTGAGCTGAGAATGGTTTTAATAATTTTTTAAAATAGATGATGCTAGCAGGTTTTAAAGTATAAAAAGGTCTCCCAAAATAAATACTGTTTTAAATCACGGATATGGACAATTTTGCAGCAATTTATTTCCAAACAACCCTAGTACAACCAGTTCTGGAAAATGGAGTTCAGCTGAGTTAATTTGATGTGTATAATGACACTTACGACATCACAAAGAAAAGGTTAAAAAAAAAATCTCCTTTTATTTTTACAACAGTTCATACAGGTGTTTTTGGCTGGACTTTAGAAGAGCATCCTTTCTTATTTGGGGTTTCATTAACAATTACTGTGCAAATAGCTTAAGTAGAGGTTGTGAAAATGCTGTTACTTAATTTCCTTTATTATCATATGGAAATATACAAAAATTCTCCCCTGTATATTAAAATATATACATTACACCTTTTGCAGAATTTGATTGCAAGAGGATTACTATTTACTAGTCTTGGCAAATATTTGAGGTGCAATCTGAAAATTGGTAACTGACAGCATTGTACATAAGCTATGGTCTTTTCTTAGGCCAGAATCTTAAGTAAAGTACAGGATATTTAAATGCCTAATTTCCACTGATGGAAGTAGCAGTTAGGTGCCTGAATATCTTAACATATAGCTTAGTGCACAAACCTGCGTAACTGAAGTCAGTGGGAGCAGCACCAAGGAATTCAACTGGCAAGACTCAAGTGTTTATACAGAAAAGTTGTGATCTTTAGTACATGGCTGGGGGGTGATGGTAAAAAGGAACAATGCTTCCTCTTGCAGGTCTCTTGAACAAAGGGAGAAAGAGGAGGTGAGGTTGTTTAGTAGTAAAAATTCTGGAAAATAATTGGGGGGAGGAGAAAATACTCATAAAGCATCTTTTAATTAAAGTTTTCATCTGATGCTTTCTTTTTGATAGAACTGTGTCAAAGTCTCCACTTAATACAACAGAAGGAACATCTGTCCATTTATCACTAGGAGGATTCTGTCTGTTCTCTTACAATGCACTGTTTATTTAAATATTCAGTCACTTCTCCACTTCTTGTACTGTTTTATGATTTTTTGGAAATTGATGCTCCAACAGCTCCCATGCAAGCCGACGTGTCACATATTCCTGGAGTTCCCTGAGCCCCAATAGCACCAGGAGTACCAGGATCCCCTGGAAGACCAGGTTCACCCTGAGCACCATCACGACCATTTTTAGTAATTCCAGGTACACCAGGTAGTCCTAAACAAGAAGGGGAAAAAGATTACATGAATTATTTCCTTCCCCCCCCCTTTTTTTTAATATATGTGTATATATGTTACCTTTAGAGTTCTTAAAATACTTTGAGTTGTCTGTACATCAGACTTGTTGTGGCCTGTTGAGTACAAGGTGTTGAATAAATTTAGCCTGAATCTGGAGTATGTGCATTGGATTTTTTAGAGTATCTTTACCTTTACTAGAATTACCTCAGTATAGTCGAAGGAGGATGTTTAGTATTGCGCTTTTGTTACCACATGTGTCTGGTTTGACTTTTGCTGACCTCTGTAGAACTGGATTCCATCTCAGTACTGCCTCAGTTAGTGTATGACTCCATGAATAACAAGAAATTTGTAACCAGAATTATTTTATGTCATCCCTGAATAGTTTGCTCAAGGCATGTCCTGGATGTGTGAGCTCACAGCTTACTTATTGTGACAACAGGAGTGCTTACAACTGTCCCACCTTAGTGGGAGGCTGTGGCCTTCAGCTGCTTCAATTCATTGCACCTCTGTAAGTCTAGTTGTAATTGAGATTCTGAGTAAGGGAAAGAGAGTAGTGAGAATGATGATAAAGAACATCTCCCTGACATTACAGATAAGGAGTTTCCTTTATACCTGTGTCCAATTTCAAAAATTTGCTCACGATGAAATACATATTTTGTTTATTGGCAAAAATAATTTCTGCTATTATGTTTCTTTTTTCCTTCAGATGCCAAAAATAACCACAAAACACTAATTTCTGTAACAGCAAGCTGCTGAAGCTTTCTGAAATACTGTACAATATGATTCTGTCTCCCTGAGGGACAGCTATATCAGGTGGCCTATAAGCCTGCATTTCTGTCTTAATTATGATAGAGGGAGAGATGGTGCCTGATCCTTTTTATTCACATAAGTGATGAAGTGCATCTACTGTTGATCTCCTCACATTTCATGAGTAGGACAAATGCTCTCAATATCTAGTATGTGAAACATAGCCTCTTTTTATGTGCTTTGGAAAAGAAAACATTTATGGATTAATGCAATTAAATTCTTCCATAAAATAAGACAACTGGGTATAAATATTCTGGGTTTATGAAAATACATGGATGCAGAGCCTGCTTTTGATGCCTGTAGCTTATGCATTGTACAGATGTAATCACAATGAGAAAAGCTGCTTTAACAGGTGAGCAAAATAAAAGAATATTCTTCCAAGTTTCTAATAGATATTCATTAATTTGCATAAATTAATATTTGAATCTTTTGATAAAGGATTCATGACTTCAGAAACTGGGATTATAGCCAGGTACAGAGCAATAACACCACTATCTTTCAAAATCATTGCACTAGGATGTTATGTTTGTTTCTGGTAAAACTAAATATTGTCCCCGATTTCCCATGTTTGATCCAGAAACATGAACTGAATGTCGGAGGACTACAGCTGGTCATCCAGGCTGTAGCTTTCCCTGAGGGCATTCTTTAAGCAGAGCACCAAAAAGACCATGTTCACCAGGAAACAGGCAGCAGGCATGATCCTTTTGCCTTAATCTGGAGCCAGAGCCCCACAAGTGTTACACACCTTTAAATGAACTGATACACTACTTGTTAATTAACTAGTTACTGCATATGAAGTACCACTGAAAAGAACAACCTTCTGACACTGGCAGCCCCGTGGGAGTAGCTACGAAGGGTTCTAACTTCCTCATCTAGAAAAGCTCCTGACCTCTCACAGCCATTAGTGGAAGAAACAAAGAACAAATGAAGAGCCTGGCTGTCCCAGCAGGCTTTTCCCAGAAACATTCTCCAAACCGTTCAGGACTAGACAGGAGTGCTGTGAAGAGGGGATGTGCTGAGTTCTGCTGTTCAAACTCTGCACCCGCTGTACCCACAGGAAGACAACCCTAATGTAACGATTACAACAAAAAAGTGATTATAACATACTGCCAACATTAAGCTGAGCTGTCCCTCTTAAACCTTTACTTTTTTAGTCATGGTTTATTGAATTATTTGCACAGCCTTACCTTGAAGTCCTTGATCACCATCAGGCCCATCGATACCTTGACCAACAGGTCCTTTATCTCCCTTTTCGCCAGTGTCACCTTAAATCATAAACAGACAATTTCAACAATGAGTTGTGCACTGCAGCTGGATCCAAGGACAGGAAGGAGAAAGATCAAGAGAAGCTCAACATCCTCAGGACATTCCTAGGATCTTTGCTTACACTGCATCCCTAAAGATGCAAAACTGCCCTCCAGAACTCCCACCTGCTGCCCAAGGCCTGATCTTTTCTCCTCCACCACTGCAATTAGTACAAGTTTGCAATTTATTTCAGTGGGAACAAAGAGGACCAGGTTGGATTAGTCTTACGTACCTCTGGGACCAGGATCACCAAGTTCTCCTGTTGGCCCTCTGTATCCAGGGGGACCACGAGGACCAGGATGCCCAACACTTCCCATAGCTCCAGGAGGACCTGGGGGACCAGCTGGGCCAGGACGACCCGTCATTCCAGGAGACAAGGGCTTTCTCAGATTAGCAGCTAACTGTGCAATTTGATCTGAAAAGAACAATTAAAACCCACACATTCACCATTTTCACTCTTTGCTTGGCTATTTGTTGTCTGCCACCAAGCATGGAGTGGTTGAAAACTCTGTCTGACAGTAAAGCAGAACTGCATGCTTGGGCAGATCCTGCTCCCTGCTGCTCCTACACACTTAACTGCTTCTGGTAGAGGAAACATGGTCCTCTCAGCTCATCTGTGGATTTTTTTTTTTTTTTTTTTTTTAACATCTCCACAGAGGGAGATTTTGGTCAGAAATCTGCAGGTTTTTAAGCCGTTGATATCTCCTGTTTCCCAAACTACTTTAAAAGATGTCAAGTAGTCTAGAAATTGATACTTAGATAATCAAAACAAGTTTTCAGAGTTTAACTTCATCCCAAATGGCAAACATAACCTCTAAATACAGAGC